CAAAAAACCCCATTTTCTTTAAAGTTGTGTTTGTCATTTTGGGCAAAACATTTTTTCTCTGGCACTGCAGAGGGCCATAGCAGCTGTAACACATTCAATTGTTTTCTTGAGAATTTTTCTTTCTTCTTCAACTTTCTTCTGTGGATAATTTAAGATTGACAATGCATATTATTAATGCACACTAAAAAACAGCAATGTATATATTACTGTATGTAGAACAAAATTTATTTGCTAAATAGATACCAAAATAATTTTTTTTATTTTTTTATTGTATACACAAGTTAGAGTTGATGCTTTATAAAAATAAATATAGGTGTATAGAATTTGCACAAGTTGTTTGCTGTAAGAATGCTAATTTTTTTGCATATTCATAAAAAGAAACTCATTTTAAAAGTTATTTACTCCATCCTGCCCTTCAACCTCAACCATGATCTAGCACTACTCACTCATCCTGTCTTTCAACCTCAACCATGATCTAGATTTACACTCATTCGCCCTGCCCTTCAACCTCAACTATGATCTAGGTCTACACTCACTGTCTTTCAACCTCATTGAAAGCAAGAGCATTTTCTTACATAGCACCTAGATTGTTTAAAGTTGCCAGTGTCTGTTAAGTCAGAAATATATATTTTTTTTTTCAACAAGTCGGCCATCTCCCACCGAGGCAGGGTGACCCAAAAAAGAAAGAAAATCCCCAAAAAGAAAATACTTTCATCATCATTCAACACTTTCACCACACTCACACATTATCACTGTTTTTGCAGAGGTGCTCAAAATACAACATTTTAGAAGCATATACATATAAAGATACACAAATATCCCTCCAACTGCCAATATCCCAAACCCCTCTCCATTTCCAGGACTCAAGTCCGACTATATGAAAATAACCGGTTTCCCTGAATCCCTTCATTTTAATTTTGTCTAAGACAGAACTAACACCCAACACTGGCTTATTTTGTCTTGCAAGTGTGAGATCATTGCACACTGAGTTTTTATTTGTTGATAACAGAAACATCTCAGAGTTACTTTCATATTCCATCAAATTATTCTTATTTTTACCATCTAATGTTGTATTACTGCTTGCTCCATGAACTAGAATGTTTTTTACTTTATTCAGATCTTGATACTTATTACTGGACTTACAAGAATGTACCTGTTTCTTAGAGTCATTTTTTTCTCTAGTATTAAATTTTGCTGCACCAAGCTGTGTAACTGAAGACAACTGTATCCAATCTTCATATCCAGTGGTTTCTCCTGCCTCGTTAATAACTTCAAATCCATCTGCAATACAAAAAATTGCTTAATTTTGAAATTTCATTTCATATTCAGGAAAAGGTAAGACATGGTCATTGAATACTTTTTGCACCTGACAGCCAAATGTACATGGTGTAAGAGAGAACTTGATGAAGCAGATGGCAACACATCTCAATGAAGATGAATAAACCATCTCAATGAAGATGAATAAACCATCAGTTTAACCCTTTGAGGGTCGACAGGCCCTCTCCGAAACTCGTTCTCAGGGTCGGCCAAATTTAAAAAAAAAAAAAAATTATTTTCTCTTATGAAAAGATAGAGAATCTTTCCCCAATCATAAGACACCAAAAGTTTGAAATTTGATAGAAAACTTACGGAATTATGCCTCGCAAGGTTAGCGGTCTCAGCGATGTTTACGCATCGGCGATTTTGCCCACTTTGAGCCCCATTTTCGGCCAATTTCACTGTACTAGTCGACAAAAAACATGAATATTTCGCTAGAACTCCATTTTTTTCTATCGAATGGGTGCAAGAAAAACCCCCCATTTATGAAATTCAACTATCCAGTAAGTGGTCAGAATTTAGCAATTTTGCCAATTTCACACAAATTTCAAAAGATGCCAATTTTCCGAATAGGGTCCAGAATAAACAAGAAAGACATTCCTGGCACTAAAATGACATTTCCTCTAGTCATTAGTCACGTCTCAAGGCCCCTCTTATATTCTTTTGCTTTCCACTTTGAATTTTTATTCTCACAAAAAATATAAGATTTACTGTTATGCAGACTACTGCATTAGTGTAAAAAATGGTATAAATATTATTGGTGCACTTGTGAAAGAATATTAGACTCAACCAGTTGATGTGTATTGCACGCTTGGCACGATTTGTTTACTTTTGAAGTTTGGTGAAATCGAACATTTCTGCTAACTTTGAGCTCAATTTCAAGGCACCTTTCATTGTAAACCAGTCAAAATCATCTCAATTTCTGTAATATGTCTTCCATTCTATAAAATAAGACCAAGAAAACTAGAATACAACAATAAATACCATAACGGAAAATACACTGCAAAGTCGCTGATTTATTCCAAAAAAATGGTCATTTTTTTTTTTTCATTATGCACTGTGTGCTGCAGGATTTTTTTTAGACTGTGCACACTGACCACATAGACCCATTCTTTCATATGAAGGCCTACCAGCTTTCTCCCACTAGATTTGAGGCCGCTAGAATTTATGCGTACTAGTATGTCAAAAAACCCTACGCGAAAGACGTACTAGTACGACCAAAACTCTCAAAGGGTTAAACCAAGAGACTTATAGAACAAAACAACCTGTGGGTAAATCAGCTTAACACTGAAACACCTTCATTTACAGAATGTAAATTACAGTAATATTACTATAATTAGAGGAAGCTTACATATGCTATATGCACAAAAGTTTAGCCATAATTAATAGGGTAATTAACACAAAAGTCTGTGTAAAATAACCCCATTAACTAGAAATTAATAAAATGAATATTATGGCATGCATCTGAAGCCCACTTTAGTAAAGTAATAAAAAAAATAACTAGTGAACATTACCATTTTCTTTTAAGTTGTGTTTGTCATTATTGGTGCTACACTTTTTCTCTGGCACCTGCAGAGGTGCCATAGCAGCTGTAACACATTCAATTGTTTTCTTGAGAATTTTTCTTTCTTCTTCAACTTTCTTCTGTGGATAATTTAAGATTGACAATGCATATATTAATGCACACTAAAAAACAACAATGTATATATTACTGTATGTAGAACAAAATTTATTTGCTAAATAGATACCAAAATAATTTTTTTTATTTTTTTTTATTGTATACACAAGTTAGAGTTGATGCTTTATATAAAATAAATATAGGTGTCTAGAATTTGCACAAGTTGTTTGCTGTAAGAATGCTAATTTTTTTTTTTGCATATTCATAAAAAGAAACTCATTTTAAAAGTGTATTTACTCCATCCTGCCCTTCAAATCTCAACCATGATTCTAGCACTACTCACTCATCCTGTCTTTCAACCTCAACCATGATCTAGATTTACACTCACTCGCCCTGCCCTTCAACCTCAACTATGATCTAGGTCTACACTCACTGTCTTTCAACCTCATTGAAAGCAAGAGCATTTTCTTACATAGCACCTAGATTGTTTAAGGTTGCCAGTGTCTGTTAAGTCAGAAATATATTTTTTTTTTTCAACAAGTCGGCCGTCTCCCACCGAGGCAGGGTGACCCAAAAAAGAAAGAAAATCCCCAAAAAGAAAATACTTTCATCATCATTCAACACTTTCACCACACTCACACATTATCACTGTTTTTGCAGAGGTGCTCAGAATACAACAGTTTAGAAGCATATACATATAAAGATACACAACATATCCCTCCAAACTGCCAATATCCCAAACCCCTCCATTTCTAGGACTCAAGTCCGACTATATGAAAATAACCGGTTTCCCTGAATCCCTTCACTTAATTTTGTCTAAGACAGAACTAACACCCAACACTGGCTTATTTTGTCTTGCAAGTGTGAGATCGTTGCACACTGAGTTTTTATTTGTTGATAACAGAAACATCCAGAGTTTTTTCATATTCCCCAAATTATTCTTATTTTACCACTAATGGTTTACTGCTTCCCATGAAACTAGAATTTTTTTATTTATTCAGATCTTTATACCTTTTTACTGGATTACAAGAAAGTACCTGTTTCTTAGAGCCATTTTTTTTTTCTAGTATTTAAAATTTTTCTGCACCAAGCTGTGGAACGAAGACAATGTATCCATCTTCAATCCAGTGGTTTTTTTCCCGCCGCGCAAATTTTTCAAATCTCTGCAAACAAAAAAAAGCTTAAATTGAAATTTCATTTTTTTATTCAGGGAAAAAGGGAAAACATGGTATTGAATACTTTTTGCACCGACAGCCAAAAGTACATGGGGTAAAGAGAACTTGATGAAGCGTGCAACACATCTCAATGAAGATAATAAACCATCTCAATGAAGAGAATAAACCATCAGTTTTAAAACCAAAAGACTTATAGAAAAAAAAAACCCGTGGGAAACGTTAACACTAAACAAATTTATTTACAGAATGTAAATTACAGTAAAATTACTAAATTAGAGGAAGCTTTTATATGCTATACACAAAATTTTAGCCACAATTAATAGGGTAATTAACAAAAAGTCTGGAAAATAAACCCCCTTAACTAGAATTTAAAAATAAAAAAATATTATGGGATGCATTTGAAGCCCATTTTGTAAGTAAAAAAAAAAAAAAAATATGGAAAAAATTACCATTTTCTTTTAAGTTGTGTTGTCATTATTGGTGCTACACTTTTTTCTCTGGACCTGCAAGGTGCCATAGCAGCTGTAACACATTCAATTTTTTTTCTTGAAATTTTTTCTTTTTTCTTAAAAATTTCTTTGGGGATAATTTAAGATTGAAAATGTATTTTTAAATGCACACTAAAAAAAAAGCAAAAACATTTTACTGATGTAGAACAAAATTTATTTGCTAAATAAACCAAAAAATAATTTTTTTTATTTTTTTTATTGTATACAAAAGTTCGAGTTGATGTTTTATAAAAAAAATATGGGTCTAAAATTTGCACAAGTTGTTTGCTGAAAAGCAAAATTTTTTTTGCATATTCATAAAAAGAAACTCATTTTAAAAAATTATTACCCCCATCCTGCCCCCAAACCCCCAACCAGTCTAGCACTACTCACTCATCCTGCTTTCAAACCTCAAAAATGAATTAGATTTACACTCACTCGCCCCGCCCCCAACCTCAACTATGATCTAGCTCTAAACGTTTTCAACCTCATTGAAAGCAAGAGCTTTTCTTTTCATAGCACTTAATTTTTAAGGTTTCCAGTGTCTGTTAAGTCAGAAATTAAAAATTTTTTTTTTCAACAAGCGGGCCTTCCCCGGCAGGGGGACCCAAAAAAGAAAGAAAATCCCCAAAAAAAAAATACTTTCATCATCATTCAAAAACTTTCACCACACTCACACATTATCACTGTTTTTTCGAGGTGCTCAAATACAACAGTTTAGAAAATAACAATGAAGATAACAACTATCCCTCCAAACTGCCAATATCCCAAACCCCTCCATTTCCAGGACTCAAGCCCATATATGAAAATAACCGTTTCCCTGAATCCCCCACTAAAAATTTAATATTTAATATTTTTGCTTTTCAATCTCAGTTGAAAACACATCTCTTTCCAGACTACCATTTTTTAAAATTTCTAGAGTACATTTTTGAATTTTATGAAAGAACAAAGCCAAAAATAACAATCCTAAATTATTAAATTTTTTTTTTTTCGATGAACTGGCCCTCCCCCACTGAGGGGAAGGTGCCTAAAAAAACAAAAATTTTTTTTTTTAAATTTTAAAAATTTTGTAAAGGGGAAGGGGTTACAAGCCCATTGCTCCCCAAACATAATAACAATGATTATATTTTTATTTTTTGCACACCGAGGGAGGGGGGGAAATGGTGAGCTTATTTTTGGGGGGAAAGATAATACCCAGAGCGATCTACAACTGTAAGTGCTAACAAGTTTTCACCAAAGGGAGGGGAACCCGGAGGAAACATTCTTTAACAACATTCATTTTCAGCTAACAGAAATGTATATAAATTTCTCACCCTTTTTTTTAAATGCATTTACACAATTTAGCCTCCTTTTTACTTTATATGGGGTCTCTAAATCCAAGGCAAAAAGGGTAAAAAGTAAAGTTGTCTATAGTCAGGCCAGTCACATTTTCCTCTGTCACTGAAAAACAAGATTTTAAACAAGTACTCAGGGTAAAATTATTACATTAAAGTTATCAATATAAACTTGTGCTTTCTGGAGAGAAGAGTGTCACACTTTAATATGTTATTGTAGCATGAAGGATGCCTGTGACCAGTTTTCAGGAATTTTACTCCTACATTCTAGCCTGTAGCCAAACTTCCTTGGAGACAGCCTGATCAATGAGGCATACGTAATACCTGTTCATGTAAGCTGACAATCAGGTTCATGAGCAGATCTCTCTGAGACAGAGAGAGAGGCAGACAGAAAGAGACAGACATCTTGTGTATGGAACAGTGGGAGCAAATAGAAAACATATGCCAAGGATCACTGGAAGCAGAGCACCATCAGCAATGCTGAGTGACACTGACACCATGCTTCAATGAGTTTCATATAGTCCAGTACTTCTAAAAAACACTGCTGGGACCTATAAATAATTTGTATATATTTCTAGACAAATCTATTCGATTTGTCTAGAAATACATACAAATTATTTATAGGTCCCAGCAAATGACAAATGAATAGATTTGTCAGTTAAAAACAGAGTAGGGGAGTTAGAAGACTGGGAGTTGGAGGTATTGAGAAGATGGTGGGAATATTTTGAGGAACTTTTAAATGTTCATGAAGAGAGGGAGGCAATAATTTCATGCACCAGCCAGGGAGGTATAACATCTTTTAGGAGTGAAAAAGAGCCGGATGCGAGGGGTGGGGGAGGGGCAAGAGGGATTACGTATAATGGAAAGGGGTAAAGCAGCTGGAACTGATGGAATCATGACAGAAATGTTAAAAGCAGGGAGATATAGTGTTGTAGTGGTTGGTATTTTTGACGTGCTGTTGGAGTATGAGCAAAGTAACATTTATGAAGGGATTCAGGGAAACCGGCAGCCGGACTTGAGTCCTGGAGATGGGAAGTACAGTGCCTGCAACGCATCTGAAGGAGGGGTGTTAATGTTGCAGTTTAAAAACTGTAGTGTAAAGCAACCCTTCTGGCAAGACAGTGATGGAGTGAATGATGGTGAAAAGTTTTCTTTTTTTTGGGCCACCCTGCCTGTGGGGAATCGGCCAGTGTGTTAATAATGAAAAAATAAATGTATGAAAGAGGGAAAGGTACCTAGGGATGGAAGCGTGTGTGTACAGTTCCTTTATATAAAGGAAAGGGGACAAACGAGATTGTAAAGATTACAGTGGACCCCCGCATACCGTTGGCATCACATAACGATTAATCTGCATACCTCTTGCTTTAATCGCAAAAATTTTGCCTCGCTAGACCGCTTAAAAAACCCGCTCACCGCCGTTCATTGCCGAGACGCGTCCAATGTGCGCCCTCAGCCAGCCTCACATGTGCCGCCCATGCCATTGTTTACCAGCCAGCCTCCGCGGTAACATCCAAGCATACAATCGGAACATTTCGTATTATTACATTGTTTTCGGTGCTTTATCTGGAAAATAAGTGACCATGGGCCCCAAGAAAGCTTCTATGCCAACCCTACAGCAATAAGGGTGAGAATTCCAATAGAGATGAAGAAAGAGATCATTGATAAGTATGAAAGTGGAGTGCGTATCGCCGACCTGGCCAGGTTGTACAAGAAACCCCAATCAACCATCGCTACTATTGTGGGCACCAGAAAGGCAATCAAGGAAGCTGTTCTTGCCAAAGGTTTAACTGTGTTTTCGAAACAAAGATCGCAAGTGATGGAAGATGTTGAGAGACTCTTATTAGTGGATAAATGAAAAACAGCTAGCAGGAGATAGCGTCTCTCAAGCGATAAATAAGCGAAAAGGCTAGGAAGTTGCATGAGGATTTAATTAAAAATGCCTGCAACTAGTGCTGATGTGAGTGAATTTAAGGCCAGCAAAGGTTGGTTTGAGAGATTTAAGAAGCGTAGTGGCATACATAGTGTGATAAGGCATGGTGAGGCTGCCAGTTCGGACCACAAAGCAGCTGAAAATATGTGCAGGAATTCAAGAAGTACATAGACAGTGAAGGATTGAAACCTGAACAAGTGTTTAATTGTGATGAAACAGGCCTGTTTTGGAGAAAATGCCAAGCAGGACCTACATTACTCAGGAGGAAAAGGCACTCCCAGGACATAAGCCTATGAAAGACAGGCTTACTTTGTTGATGTGTTCCAATGCTACTGGTGATTGCAAAGTGAAGCCTTTATTATGTGTATCACTCTGAAACTCCCAGATCGTTCAGGCAAGAGAATGTCCTCAAGGAGAATTTGTGTGTGCGTGGAGGGCAAACAGTAAGGCATGGGTCACTAGGGACTTTTTCTATGACTGTTACACCATGCATTTGCCCCCAATGTGAAAGATTACCTAACTGAAAAGAAATTAGAACTTAAGTGCCTCCTGGTGTTTAGACAATGCCCCTGGTCATCCTACAGACGTGGCAGAGCGACTTTATGGGGACATGAATTCATTAAGTGAAGTGTTTTGCCTCCTAATACACTCCTCTCCTGCAGCCCATGGACCAGCAGGTTATTGCAAACTTCAAAAAAACTGTACACAAAAGCTCTGTTTGAAAGGTGCTTTTGTAGTGACCTCAGAAACTCAACTGACTAAGAGAGTTTTGGAGAGAGCACTTTAATATCCTCAATTGTGTAAACCTTATAGGTAAGGCTTGGGAGGGAGTGACTAAGAAGACCTTGAACTCTGCTTGGAAGAAACTGTGGCCAGAATGTGTAGACAAAAGGATTTTGAAGGGTTTGAGGCTAACCCTGAGAGGATTATGCCAGTTGAGGAATCCATTGTGGCATTGGGAAAGTCCTTGGGGTTGGAGGTTAGTGGGGAGGAGGTGGAAGAGTTGGTGGAGGAGGACAATGAAGAACTAACCACTGATGAGCTGATAGATCAACTTCAAGAGCAAGAGGCCAGACCTGAGGAAACTGGTTCAGAGGAGGGGAGAGAGAAATTGAAGAAGTTGCCTACTACAAAGATTAAG